GAGCAAGGACTTGAGCCTCCCGACTAGCCTGAATATCCTGATCCTGAGCCAGAACCTGAGCCTCCTGACCAGCTTGAGCCTCCAGATTCTGGGCCAGAACCTGAGTCTCCCAACCAGCCTGAACATCCTGATCCCGAGCAAGAACCTGAGCCTCCCGACCAACCTGAGCATCCTGATCCTGGGCAAGGACCTGAGCCTCCCTATTAGCCTGAATATCCTGATCCTGAGCCAGAACCTGAGCCTCCTGATTCTGAGCCCAAACCTGTCTCCCAACCAGATCCTGAGCCTGAACATCCTGATCCTGAACCAGAACCTGAACCTCCTAACCAGCCTGAGTATCCTGATCTTGGGCCAGAATCTGAGCCTCCCAACCAGCCGGAACAGCCTCAAGATAACCAATATCTCACCACCATGGACAGTAGAGAGAAGAGGGAGCGACCGCTATGCAACCCAACTTGCAATGACCTCGTCAACTGTTTCAGGGCCACCAAGCATTGCCTCAACAACATCCACCTGCTATCATCTCCAGCTTCGAAATAAAAGTTGGAGGCTTGTATCACCTCCAAGAGCATTCAGGTTCTTGCTCAGGATGTCCCTGTGCACTTCCAGACACAGGCTTTGCATCTTGCCCACTGTCCATCCTCTGCCACGCATCCAGGAGCCTTAAGGACATACCAGAATCTGTGCAATGCTTAGTATTTCCCCAGGAAGAGAGAGAGAGAGAGTCAAAGAGAAAGAGAGAGGGAGATAGAGAGAAAAGAGAGAGAGGGGGGAGATAGAGACAGAAAGAGGGAGAAAGCGATAGAGAGAGAGGAGGGAAAATGGAGAGTGAAAGAGGAGAATCAGAATCAAATAATTTATTTAGCCAAACAAAATACACATACAAAAGCATGATCCATTATACAATATGGCTGAGCCCTCCAGGAGTTTGACTCCTTTCGGAAGGCCCCTGGTACAACAATTATGCATGTTTAACAACTGTATACATCATACAAACATAAGGATATGTACATATTAAGCTGATACATAATACACATATACAAATTTGAAGCAAACTAGGATTACCTTAATTACTAGAACATCTAGCATTATTTTCGTCTTATATAACTATTTACATTATTTTACATCTTATATAATTATTTACATTATTTTACATCTTATATAATTATTTACATTATATTTACAGAACCATCCAAAGAAATTAGAATAAATTAGACATATTAAACATATTGTATTTACCACTTACACCGGAAATGTAGATACATGTATCATCGGCATAAATAACAAAATGTAATTTGCTTGATTAAATCATTGATATAAACATTGAAAAGAATTGGGCCCAAAATTGAGCCTTGAGGAACGCCATATGTTAAAGTACTTAAAGAAGAGGAATGGTTGCCAAATGATACATATTGAGCCCTGTTGCTTAAGTAAGAAGAAAGCCATCTGTGAGCTGAACCTCGAAGTCCATAATGATGCAATGGCTGACAGTATGAAAAGTTTTGGAAAAATCCAGAAATACCCCTAGAATGAACTTTCTCTCATCGAAGCCTTTGATGATATCATTTGTAAAGTGAACAATGGCTGATTCTGTGGATTTATTTTTCATGAAGCTATACTGGGAGTCAGTTATTATTCGGTGTTCATTTAAAAAAGTATTTAATTGCTTACTGATAATTTTCTCCTAAATCTTACTGAAAACTACAAGGACCGAGACAGGACGAAAGTTGCTCAATTGAAACCGCTCCCCTGCTTTGAATAGAGGATGAACTTTAGCTATATCTAATTTAACTGGAAATATTCCTGTTTCTATTGAGCTGTTTATGATATGATGCATAAGCTTCAGTATGCCTGGAAGAATCTGTTTGACTATAAACATGGGGATATTATCATGGCTAGGGGCAGAATTTTTCAGTTCCTGTACTTGTAAAAGTTCAGCTTCAGTGATAGGCAAAAGCGAAAAAGCACTTTGGATCTGATGTCCAGGAAATGTCTGGAGATCCCATTGTGATGAGCAACCATTTCAGCTAAATTGTTGGCAATATTATTAAAATGATTGTTGAATTCTGAGGCAATGTGTGCTGGTTCAGTTATTTCTTTGTTATTAACCAACATCTTATTTGTCTGATGCTCCTTCTTTCGATTTAGAATGTTATCTAAGTTTTTAGAGTCATTTTACATTCATCAAGCTAATTTGCATAATAATTATACTTGGCATCACGGATAATGCGTGTTACTTTGTTGCGCAGGCAACGAAATTTTTCGCCATGCGGAATTGGCAATTTAGCAAACTTTTCTTGCATCTGATTTCTTTCTTTAATCAACTGCTTGATATCGTGATTGATATATGGCTTATGGTATGATTCTATATATACTATTTTTGACTTTACTTTCTCCAAAGAAAGGAGGGAAATAGATATAAAATTCTCATAGGCAATATTTGGATCTGATGAGGCACCACACATTCGTGATCTAAAAGCGTTTTAAGCAGGGAAAGTTCTTGCCTGAAATCTCAAGCGTTTTTCTTGCCAACTCAAGCATTTCGCTTGCTTTCTCAAGCGACCTCCGTAGATGGCTTGACTTGCGCTTGCTAAGTCAAGCGGTGTACCGTCACCAAGGCAACGGCGTCGGTCGCGTACCGTACTGGTCACGATCCTTCGAATGCGGGCGTTGGCCAGGAAACCCGCTTAATATCTTATCAGATGAATAATTTTTTTCACGGTATCTGATTCTGTAATTTTCTTAAAATTGAAAATTAACTGAAAACGAAAGGAGATAATGGAGATTATAGGAATAAGAAGTTTTACTTATGAATAATAAATGATTATAAGACGAACAATTTTCCTCTTATTGTTAAACTTCTCGTCTTTCTAAATCGAGAATATATCTGATATTTTATGAAATAAAGAATATTTCAAGTGAAAAAGTCTGAGAAATTCTAGCAACATTCTTCTGTTGATATTATATTCGATGATTTGTTATATTTAACCTCATAAAATCGGATATATGGGAATGGGTAGGCCTATATTTTAATTCAGGGATATTCATTTGTTTTGATAACGCGTCAGAATGAAAGGGCTGTCAATCTAAAGTGTGTGTGTCATTGTTTTAGAAGCACTTTATATGAATATAGGAGAAAATATAGCGCTTTGTTAAGATGTTTGGGTAGATTTATTTACTTCTCTGCCATCTTGATGCGGCGCTAGTTTGTCAGTTGTTTTGAATTGCGCGCTCAAACTGTTACCAACCGCAGGTGAAGTAAACTCCACCCTCGACTCGTGCATAAGTTATCTCTTTCCGAGATTGTTGGTGGGAATATTGCTTTTAAAACCCAAGTATGGATATTTTGTGTGTTATTTTGATATTTCTATGCTCATCAAGGACTGTTATGATTTGTAATTTAATAAAAGACATTTCCACATGTCTGGCATCACTGAAGAGGGCCTGCCTGCCTTGGAAATCGTTTTAAGTAGGGAACGGTACAGCGCTTGGCAAGAATTCTTGCCAAGCGCTTCCCTGCTTAAAACGCTTTAATAGTGCTGCTGATTTACCTTGGGCTCTTATTGGCTTAGTAATAGTGGTAAAATACAAATACGAATTAAAAACAGATATCAAAGCTTGTACTTTGGGATCAGAGTCCTTGCTTAGAGGGAGAGAGAAAGAGAGAGAGAGAGAGAATGAGTGAGTGAGAGAGAGAGAGGAGAGAGAAAAGTCAGAGAAAGAGAGAGGATGGAGAGAGAGAGGGGGGGGGGAGAAAAGTCAGAGAAAGAGAGATGAGAGAGAGACAGAGAGAGGTAGAGAGAAAAAGAGAGAGAGGGATAGAGGGAGAGACAGAGAGAGAAAAAGAGAGGGACAGAGAGAGAGGAGAGACAAAATGGAGAGAGAAAGAGAAGAGGGAGAGAGAAAGGTAGAGATAAAAAGAGAGAAAGAGTCAGAGAGAGAGAGAAAAAAAAAAAAGATAAAGATAGAGAGCGAGAGACGGAGATATAGAGATACATAGGGAGAGAAAGAGAGAGGAGGGAAAAATGGAGACAGAAAAAGAAGAGGGAGAGAGAGGAGAGAGAAAAGCGAAAGAGAGAGACAATGAATAAGTGAGAGAGAGAGAGAGGAGAGAGAAAATTGAGGGAGGGAGGGGGATAGAGAGAATAAGAGAAAGAAAGAGAGAGAGAGGGAGAAGGAGAAAGAGAGAGAGAGAACAGAAGGGAGGAAGGGGAGAGAGAGAGAGAATGAGTTAGAAAGTGAGAGAGAGAGAGGAGAGAGAAAAATGAGAGAAAGAGAGAGGAGAGAGGGAGTGAGAGAGATAGGGGGAGGAGAGAGAGAGGGGGGATAATAACGAGAGAGAGGGAGGAGGGGAGATAAAGAGGAGAGAGAGAGAGAGGGGGAGGTAGAAAGGTAAAGAGAGAGAGAGAAATAATGTAGAGAGAAAGAGGAGAGTGGAGAGAGAAAAGCGAGGGAGAGTGAAGAGAGAAAAGCGAGAGAGAGAGAATGAGTGAGTGAGAGAGAGAGGAGAGAGAAAAGTAGAGAGGGAGAGGAGAGAGAGGGAGTGAGAGAGAGAGAGAGAGAGGAAATGAGAGAGAGAGAGAGGAGAGAGAGAGAGAGAGAGAGAGAGAGAGAGAGAGAGAGAGAGAGAGAGAGAGAGAGAGAGAGAGAGAGAGAGAGAGAGAGAGAGAGAGAGAGAGAGAGAGAGAGAGAGAGAGAGAGAGAGAGAGAGAGAGAGAGAGAGAGAGAGGGAGTGAGAGAGAGAGAGAGGGAGAGAGAGAGAGAGAAAGAGAGAGAAGAGAGAGAGAGAGAGAGAGAGAGAGAGAGGGAGGGAGGGAGGGGGAGGAGGGAGGGAGGGAGAGAGAGAGACAAAGTCAAAGTCAAAACACTTTATACCATTGATTGTGATGGTTATTCTTTACATAAATACATTCATATTTACAACTGATTTTTTAATAGGTGTTCTTTTAATTTCGCTTTGAAATTACAAAAGCTATTAATAACTCATATTATCTGGTAACATGTTCCATAACTTAGGTCCACGTATTCCCATTTGTCGTGCCCCTGTATCAGTACTCGATCTCTTAACATACAGAGAATTTACTTGGCGTGTCACGACACCTGATGTGGTCCCTACAGTTTGCAAGTGCATTAACCATTGCGGATAATTCCCATGAATGAGCTTGTAGATGAATACACATATGTCATAACTGCATTTAGGTTGGGCTTTTAACCATTTTGATTTTTAGATATGCGGGCTGATGTGATCAAGTTTACAGATATTACCTAATGCAACTCTTGCAGCAAAGTTTTGTAATTTTTGTACTTTTTGCATTTGGGTTTTGTTAGTCGAACCCCAAATATTTGAACAATAGTTAATAATACTTAGAACTAGAGTTTGCACAACCATGATTCTAGTTTCAGTAGTGACGATTTTTTATGTGATTAAGATACTAGGCTGCTCGCTACTTTCCTGTGTATCTTGTCAACGTGTTGTTCAAATGTCATAAATCTGTCTAAGTGTATTCCCAGATTATTCACTGAAGTGTTCTGCTTGATAGAGCAGCCTTCAAATTCTATGGTCGTGTCATTGGGAATTTTAACTATGTTCTGCCGGCTACTTATGAATATACATTGACTTTTATGTGGATTAGTTTCAGACCATTAATTTTAATAGCAAAATATAATTTTGCTAGTATAAGGGTATGGTGAGTGTTTCTTATTAATGTCTTCAAGTTGTTTACTGAGTCACTATGAAGCAACTAGGAATCGTTGGCGTACTGCACTATAAGGCAGTTATGGGCTATTGTTGATAAATCATATATGAAAATTGTAAATAGTATCGGACCTAAAATGGATCCTTGCGGAACACCTAAAGGTACTTGTTATTTTGATGACATACAATCATTGATTCTTACCGATTGGCTCCTTGTATCTAAAAAGGTATCAATTTTATGGATTGCTAATTTGTTAAGGAGAATTTCATGGCTGACACTATCAAAAGCCTTAGAAAGGTTGCATAATGTGAGCATATTTACCCCTATTATTGTCTATGTTATTATAAATCTCATCAGTAATTTGTAGTGAAGCTGTTTCAGTAGAGAACTTATTTATGAAACCATTTTGCGTTTTAGATAATAAGTTATTGGCCTCCAGGAAACTCGTTAATTGATTTGTTACAATTTTTTCAAGAACTTTAGATAATATAGGGAGTATAGTAATTGGGCGATAATTAATTACATCGTCTATATCCCCCGATTTGGAAATTGGTGTTACTATACCATGTTTCCAAAGCGACGGACACTGCCGGATACCGCCTGGTAATGCCTGGTACTGCCCGGTACCACTCGACACTGCCAGGTAGCTATAAACGCATTATTTCTCTTTTTCTCTGATGAATTTCATACTATATTCTGCCTAGTACCGCCCGGTACTGCCTAGTACCACCCAGCACCGTCCGGTACTGCCCGCTACCGTCCGCCACTGCCAGTTACCGTCCGGTACTGCCCGCTACCGTCCGCCACTGCCACCGTCCGCCACTGCCACCGCCACTTACCGTCCGCCACTGCCCGCTACCGTCCGCCACTGCCGCTACCGTCCACCGTCCGCCACTGCCCGCTACCGTCCGCACTGCCCGCTACCGTCCGCCACTGCCCGCTACCGTCCGCCACTGCCCGCTACCCGCCGCCCGCTACCGTCCGCCACTGCCGCTACCGTCCGCCACTGCCCGCTACCGTCCGCCACTGCCCGCTACCGTCCGCCACTGCCCGCTACCGTCCGCCACTGCCCGCTACCGTCCGCCACTGCCCGCTACCGTCCGCGCTACCGTCCGCCACTGCCGCTACCGTCCGCCACTGTCCGCCACTGCCGCTACCGTGCCCGCTACCGTCCGCCACTGCCCGCTACCGTCCGCCACTGCCGCTACCGTCCGCCACTGCCCGCTACCGTCCGCCACTGCCGCTACCGTCCGCCACTGCCCGCTACCGTCCGCCACTGCCTACCGTCCGCCACTGCCGCTACCGTCCGCCACCGTCGCCACTGCCCGCTACCGTACTAACTGCCTGGTACCGCCCGGCAGTATCCGGTAACGTCCGGTACTGCCCGGTACCGGCAGTACCGGACGGTACCGGGCAGTGCCAGGCGGTACTGGGCAGTGCCAGGCGGTACTGGGCAGTGCCAGGCGGTACCGGACGGTACCAGGCAGTGCCAGGCGGTACCGGGCAGTACAGGACGGTATCGAGCAGTGCCGGACGGTACCGGGTGGTTCCGGGAAGTGCCGGGCGGTACCGGGCAGTACGGGATGGTACCGGGCAGTGCTGGACGGTACAGGGCAGTACCGGATGGTACCGGGCAGTACTGAGTAGTATATTTATAAGAGAAAATGAGACAAATAATTCGTTTATAGCTATTGGGCAGTTGTTTTATTAGCACCGGGCAGTGCTGAGCGGTACCGGGCAGTAGTTTGCATGACCTGTGACCAGAGAGGTTGCGGGAGGATTATCTCTGATAAAGCGCAAAGCAATACCATTTGCTCCTACAGCATTTGTTTTGCGAAGGTGTTTTATTACTAAGATTTATGTTTCTACGTCCACTGATTGTGGTCTGGAAAAAATAGTTGTAAACCTTGCCCGATCTGTGTTTCGTCGTACTGTAGTTATTTGTTCATAAGTTAGATTTCCATTTTTTGAAAAGAAGACATTAAAATGCTCTGCTTTGTGTAGCACTTGCACAGTCACTAGTGAGGTGCTTGTTGTAAGGCACTAGTGTTTTAAAAATTTTCTATGTCTTATCAGAGTAGTTCTTATATTCGGTAAATTTATTTCTGAAATAATTTCTTTTCGCAGATTGAATTAACAATTTGACATTTTTCTTTTTTACTTTATAATCTACTTGAAAGGCGGCTCCATGTCTGTTACATTTAAAAGCTTGGTGGGCTTCATTTCTATCGCAAATGGCTCTCTTGATGTCATTTATCCATGGACGGAGGACGTCTGACGATTCGTGTTACGTAGGGAGCCAGCGCATCGATGCTGCTTTTAAAACTTCCGTGAGAATAGTTACTTGTTTGCTTACATTATCTATTGATGAAATATCAAATAGATTCATTTCTTTAGACAAGATAAACTCGCGGAAAGATTGAGTCATAGTGTTTGAAATCGCGAAAAGTTTTTATTAATGGTGGTCACTTTGTTTTCTTGATATTTATCGTCATCGTGATAAGTCCATAATCAGCAATATGGCATGGGATGACATTGGAATGGAGAATGAGATCTGGCCTGTTATTATTAAATCTAATAGAAAAGAGGTGTTTTCTGTAATTCGAGTAGATTTATCTATTATTAGTTCTAATCTGTTTTTCTTAATTATCTTCGCTAATTTAGTATTAGATTTTGTTAAATCATCAGTTAGGTCACCTAGATGAAAGGATTTGAGGATATTTCTCTAAAAACCTTTTCAATGTATTCAAATGATTCTGAGGTAGACAGCGCCAATAATGAAGAGAGGAAGCATGTTGCTTTGTACGGTAACCCAGACATCCTCTACGGCAGTATTGTTAACTGCTGTAGTAGATATCCCGTTTGACTTCAGGGTATCCCATACATATATACATACTCCTCCTCCTCCCCCTGCATCACATCTGTAAACTTTAAAATTTGGAATATTGATGAAATTAATAACCGTTTTCTGGTGGAACCATGTTTCACTTATGCATAATATGTCTATGATTCTTTCCTCAAGCATTTTAATTTCTTCAAAATGTCCGAGGAGAGACTGAGCGTTTATATGCTCAACTGGTGTAGTAGTCATGTGTTATCACTGTCTTATGGGCCTTGAAATGTTTTCAAACTTTTCGGACAGATGTCCTTCTATACCATCTTCGTTTGGGACGATCTGCACCCTTTAACGGCTTTGGTGTTTGGTTTTCTTTGTTTGTTTGTTTTTTTCTCCAATTTCTTGATTTGACCTTGGTGTAACCATCTTCATCAATATCTTGTGTGGGCTTTGCTCGTTCTGCATAGTTCTCCTCCAGCAGCTGATGGCGCTGCTGGAGGAGGGGGGTGGGGGCAGCATGTAGGGCGGTAGCCCCTTGCACCTGCTGCTGAGCTGTTTCCTCCCAGTGGTGTTTGGGGTCGAGTTGTTCTCTTTGATTGTTACTCCTGTTATTTTGTTTTTTTCTAAATCTTCATGTTACTTGTGTAGAAGCTTCCACCATGGTCTTCTTTGGCGTGTTGGTTTTGGGACTCACGGCAGGAGGGCTCTTAGTTGACTTTGGGGAGGCGGGGGCGTCTGGCTGGCCGCGGGCAGGGAGGGGAAGGTATTGGGAGGAGAGGATTGCTGGTCGCGGGTATGGGTATGGAGGGTATGGATGAGGGGTTTTGGGTGGAGGTAGGGGCCGTTGTGACGGGGAGATGTGATAAGGATAAGGATAAGTCCGATATGCGAAGCTGAGCCTCGTCCGGGCTATGGGGGAGCCCGGCCTGTGCCGACAAATGTCGACTCGATCAACGTGTGTCAGCGAGTGCTGATGCGACAGAGCTTAGTCCTTACCCACCGTGGTGCCCAGCCACAGCAGTAACCTCCGGGTGACAACTGCAACTTCTCGCGCCTGGGCGGGGCGTGAACCGCCGACCCCTCGGATGAGAAGCCGACACGTTACCACTGTACTAGCCTGGAGGCTGGGAGATGTGAATGGAAAGGTTTCATATGTGGTCTGATCACGGGTGGGGGATGGGGGTTAGGGGGGATCGGCTCTTGTGTAACCGATGTGTACTCTGCTTGTTTTTGCCCCATTAATTTATTGATAGTCGACTGTTGTTCGGAGAACATTCTGATCAGCAAGTCGATTTTGTTTTCAATTAGATTTTGGTCTGTGAAGGAAGGCCCATTACAGGTCTGTGTTCTTTGGACTGTAGTATTTGGGAAAAAAAAAAAAAAAAAAAACTTTACAAAAGGAATAGAATTTCCTGATTTCTTAGGAAGTGACCTGTCTGTTGGGGTAGTGTCCGTTGTAGTTGCTGCAAACACTATGTTTTGATTATCTACACACTGATCAATCATAATGTGCACGATAATGTTTGTCATTCGTTTAGTGTCCCTTGTCGTGCTCCTGGGATTTCTGGAGTCTGATAAACTGATCACAATGTCATGGGCTTGTTCGATTTCAGCCGGTCTGTAATTTTTTTTATTTTATCACACATGACCGACCGTGGCCAAGACTTTTTGATAGCAACGAAACACAGAATTGTGTTAAGCTGCCGAGCTGATAAATTGCTCTTTCAGATTGATGCACATTTTACACTGTTATCACTGTTACTGCTAATGGGCCCCTCACCCTGGGCCGGGGGGCAGCCTTGATCCTGGCTGCCATGGGGGTGCCTATCCTCGTGGGCGGGGAGGCAGCTCTGACCCATGCTGCCAGGGGGCCCATACCCTAGGGCTGAGGTCCCGGTACCCGGGGGGGGGGCGGCACATTACCCCTTTCACTCTGGGGAAAAGAGCTCGTGCTAGCTGCCCGAAGAAAGCACCAGGGAGGCCCCCTGGTTGGCCCCTCAAACCCGGGGGGAGGGGTCAGATTACCCTTTGACTTTGCGGGACCATGAGAAGGCATGGTCCAATCACCACGGCGGTTAGACTCAGATTCAGAGAGGATGATAGATAAAGAGAGAGAAAGGGAGAGAGACAGAGAGAGAGGAGAGAGAGAGGGGGGGGATTAGAAGGAGAGAGAGAGAGGAGAGGAGATAAAGAGGAGAGAGAGAGAGGAGAGGAGATAAAGAGGAAGAGATTGAGAGAGAGGAGAGAAAAAAATGGAGAGAGAAAGAGGAGAGGGAGAGAGAGGAGAGAGAAAGAGAGAGAGGGGGGGGTCAGAGGGAGTGAGTGGGTGAGTGAGAGAGGAGAGGGGGGGAGGGAGTGAGTGGGTGAGTGAGAGAGGAGAGAAAAGTAGAGAGAGAGAGAGGAGAGGGGGGAGGGAGTGAGAGAGAAAGAGTGTCAGGATTTTGTTCTTGCCTGATTTTGGTGGGTTATGGAGACACAATTCTGGTTTGGAGGTTTATTCTGAAGAGGTGGTAGGTAGCTTGGTGTGGGCTGTCTCGTGTGGTGCAGTTGTGGGCAAGGGAGCCCAGGGGCGCGCCGAGCGAGGGCACGCATGGTACACTTCCGGAGGAGCCGTCCGGGTCAGCCCGTGACCCGAGATCGAATGTGTTGTAACTTTCAAGGCTAGGTTGGGAATCTCTAGCATTGGGGACGTGGGTAGGTAATCCTTGTTCCTCAGATAGAGAGAGAGAAGGGGGAGGGAGGAAGGGAGAGAGAGAAAGGGGGGGGGGAGTGGGAGAGAGAGAGAGAGAGGGAAGAGGAGACAGAGAGAGAATGATACAGAGAGAGAGGGGGGGGGGGGGGGGGGAGGGAGAGCAGGTGCTGGCGTTCTCTGAAAGAAGTACTCCGGGGCAGAGACAGGAAAGCAAATAGTGGGCCTGTAAGATATGATAAAAATATATCACATTGCAATGACAATATTAATTCAATTATTTGCATGATTTTTCCATTTTTATTTATTTTTTTCAATAATTCACTGTCCAAGGATAGACAGAGCAACATGCTTAGGGAGACAATTGCAATATTCCGCGAGGACTTGCTTGAGTTGCAATTGCCCCCGATAGCTGGAGGTGAAAATCTACAAGAGATAAGCATTGTGCAAAACTACAAGGAAGCAAAAGGTGTCGCAGTCCGCAAGGACTTGTCTTGAACGACGAACTTCCTTGGAAAAAAAAAGAAATAAAAATGTAACAATGCAGAGTTCAGTTGTGTGCAGCGCAATAGTGCATACGGTATACGTCTGACTAATAGTAAATGTTCTATCTCACTTCAGTGAAGTTGTCTATCACATGTCACCAACAGCAATTCGAGGCAAAGCGTTAATGAAAACTGGTAATGCAGTCCTCATACTTCAGGAGCGACTCATTACATCAAATATGCTTTCTCAAGACAACATATGCACGATAAAACGTCATGCAAGACAAGAATACACGATTGGCGCAAGTCGGTTATCTTTTCGGAAACAGT